TATGAGTGACGCAGACAGCACACACAAACACGAACACATGCTGAAATGAGTGCTGTGCCTGCCTGTGATGAGGAGATTGTGAATAAAGAATGAATATTAGTCGAATTTAAAATAAACATTTGCATTAGAATGTTAGGTGTGCATCAGGGAGCGTCAGCAGTGGCACGTGAGATGCGGTGATGATGTAAGTGACGTTGTTGCATTTTAATGTTTTGTTAGTGTAGCCCACGAGACGCGCCGCTGCTGCGTTATTCATTCAAAATATTAGAGAAATATAGAAGCTCAATGCGGAGAAGATCTTGAATGGGTTAAAACCGAAACCAAGCCATTCACACAGAACGCATATTCAGTGCATTTTTTAGACGAACAAATATGACTGCTGCACTCGCGTCTCACAGAAGAGATGTATAGAAAGCCATGCAAAGTTAAAACAGTTTAAACTTTTAGAAAACACGTCATGAATTTGTGGCGGTTTATTCCTTTTCACTGCGTCTCATATGTTTTTAAATGCAGTCTGTGTGAATGGCGCTTCGGCTCTTTGGATTAAGCAATGCATATATATTAGGGGTGGAACGGTTCAACTTACTTACGGTTCGGTTCGTATCACAGTTTTAGAGTCAGTTTCGGTATGGTTCAATATGTGCTATGTTTAGGCAAAAAATATACTGTCAAATAAAAATTAAGAAAATAAGAACAATCTAACTACAAGCAACAGCACAAATAAATACAATAGAGTAAAGATACAAAAAATAAACGGTGATTTTCAGCTTTTTTTAGGTAGGTCTAACATTAGTTTTTAGGTACAGAAATTGAATAAAGTAATGAAATGTAAAACAGCATTGCATATTTGACTGTATAAATTAAAGATTAATCTTTATTAAAGTTACAAAATCTATTCAATCAAGAGCAGTGAGTGATTTCTTTTTTGTTGCTGTTTGATTAATATTAAGAAAGTGCTGTCACTTTAAGAGAATGCACTGATCCAGTGCACTGATACAGTACGTTCAGCCAGCTATGTCTGCTATAGTATACTTACCAAGATGGGCATTTTGACATAATTTTTGTGCGAATTTGGCCATTTATACATAATACTTCAGAGAGAGATTAATATTTGCGCGTGTTCTGAGGCGCGGGTTTGCGCGCTTCGGATGAACACACGCACAAATCTTCTAACTGCACGCGCGAGCTCGCGTCCTCTGGCTGAGACTGGCTCTTAAATATTTAAACTGGCAAAGCTTAAATGAGTTTATCTTAAACACAGATATCAACGTGTGCTTGCGCTATCAGCACCTGGGTGATGACGGAATAAATGCTCATATTCCAGCATACGGCAGTCGCATTGAACAAGAGTGAATGGTTTGTCCACGTTTTTTTTTTTTTTTCCCCCATCGCTGTTGTTGTAATGTATCGGGAAGCCAGAATGCGCATTCATCAACAGAAACATATATTAGCCGAACCCTGTTTGTTTTACATGTTATTTATAGCAAATCAGATTACAGATGCGTTGTCAGATTTAAGTTGAACCGTGGTCCTAGTGCGTGCCGAACCGTGTGTGGAGAACCGTACGGTTCGTTTTTTTTCCACAAACCGTTCCACCCCTAATAAATACATGATGCTGTTTTGTTCATAATTATTTATGCAATTTACGAAATTATATTTGATTTTTATGAGTTAATTTAGATGTAATGCACGTTTTTATAGAGTTACTTCCTTGCGTTGGCAATTTAAATGCGCTGCATTATTTTGCTCATTGCGCCCTCCTGTGGCCTCGGGAGACAATTAGACATATACAATAAAGACCTATTTAATCTGCATATAAAACTTTAGAAATGAGATATTGGTTTAATTTTTATTGTGTTTGATTGTTAAAACTATTTGTTGTTTGTCTCAATAAATTGTGTTAATTATAAATACAGTGGTTAAATTTTAACATTTTTGCTATTGCTTTTTGTTTTAATAAAAGATTATAAAAAATGTCAATAATTATCGATACAGAACGATATGAAACATTATATCGTTGATAATTTTTTTTGCTATATCGCCCAGCCCTAGTTAAAGGTAGGCATTATAAATACCAATAAATAAACAAATAAATACTATTGAATAGGGAGACTCATTTAGAATGCAAAAATAAATGCATAAGGCAATTATTTTACAAGAATGCTCCATAACATGATCTCTAACATGATCACTGCTGATGTGTGTGGGGAGAATAAAAGAGGAGGATTGCATTTCCAAGTACCTGGACACACAGAAACACAAATCTAATGTGTCCCAAAGCCAAAGTAGAAGTGTTTATGCATTTTTAACCTTATGCCTTCCCAGGCATTTCCATCAAACCAATAGAAATGTCTATGGGCAAATAAGACATCCCAGATAGATGCAGGTTAGCAGTTTAAAAAAAAAAAAAACTCAATTTATTCTATGTAGGAAAATATCAAGTTTGTGGCAACACTCCAGTATTTACAACAACCTTGCCTTGATAGAAGAATAAGGCTAGTTACAGAAGGGATTTGACCCTATCCTATCTAACTATTGCTTCAACCAGCTGCAACTTAACCTCAATTACGGTAATCGATAGGGGAGGTGCTTAAATGGATCTTTAAGGATAAAGAACAACAAAAACAGTACAGCTCAATTCAGAATCGCAACAAAGATGCAACATCTCCATGGCAAATCGTAGCTGCTTTGTAAGCAAAACGGAGTGATGTGATCGAGCTGCCAAATTCAAGGCGTCTGAGAGCGCGGAAGCTTAAAATAAATCCCGTGTGTAGCAGAGACACGGGCATTCATGACATTAAACTTTGTTAGGTCTCAAAGCAATTACATGAACACGATTTACTGTAGCATCTTGAGTCTGAGAGAGTCGTGTAGACTAGAGACTCCAAAACCAGGGTCGGTTGACGGCTAGCTTTGTGCATGCTTTCTTTATGACTGATTTCTAAATCATCATCATTACAGATTATATTGACCATAACGGTGATAAAAAGGTTACTAGATCCCATGCTGACCCAACTAACGCTGTCTCTGTGTATATGACACATGTGTTTATTATGCCAGGCTGCTTTTGCACGGCACTTTGCATGTTGAGATTAATACAGATTCCATGTCATTCAATTAATACGATTCAATGTCAATTAACGAGGCCTCAAGCTTGGGACTAAAAGAATGAACACAAATGGAGTGTCTGCATCTATGCAACCTACTATTAAAATTAGAAAACACTGCAATGGTTATATTTCATTTCATCTCATCACATAAACAGTGTGTATCGTTTAGCATAAGCATAGAAAGCTAGCAAAGCCGGGCTAATAATGGGGCTACATGGACCAAATCTCAGCGCTTGGCAGAATTAAAAAAAAAATTTGTGACTGGTTACGAACCACACCAGGACTCATAACGTGTTAGCAGAAAAATGGGTCACATACAATATGTTTTGATGAGGAACACGGCAAAAGGGTTGATAGCATGGTCGGCTAGCCGCTTTTGAGCTAGCTAGCACGCTAAGCCTAGTAAAATCAACAACAGAGCCATTATCCTCGAATGAGGGATTTAAACACTGCACTTACCTCCAGAAAAAATATCCTTCTGCTGCCAAACGGAACAATTAAAAAAGAATCCACTACACGTAGATCCGCGTTAGGTTAATACGTCCGTTAATTTTGTTTGTGTTTCCACATTCGCTAAAAGGAGCCGCTGCTGTCGCCCGGCAGTCTCGGTGTCGCGCACTGACTGAAGCTGTGCAAATATATTTTTCACGGGAGCGCCGCTACAAGACTGCGTGAACGCGCTTTAGTCACATGAACGCGGGAAGGAGAACAACGTTGGGTCAACAACAGACGAGTGATGATGAGAATACCGTCTCCGGTTACTATTGTAACATCGGTTCCCTGAGAGCGGGAACGAGACATCACGGAGACATTTCTCCGTTATGGTTTCCACGAATCGGTTCTTTTGAACAGTTCATCCCAAAGAGCCGGTTCAGAAAACTGTTTCAAGCAACGTGATCCCTGACATCCATGGCCGGACTTAACCATTGGGCTTGAATGGGCTGCAGCCCAGGGGCCCCGCCTTAACCCGTTTACATTTGTTCAGTTATGTGCCAGTCAGAAATTATTAGCCGCATTTCAACTGCGCGCACGGGCCAGACGAGGCTAACAACTTCCAGCTTCCAACTACGACATTTGAAGCCATAATCAAACAGCATAAACTGGAATTTATTTTATTTTTTTTCACATAGAAAAAGGACACATATTAAATCACGTCCGCGCTGCGCCTAATCGCCGATTAATTTGTGACATCCCAAGTATAGTGTAAAATGTTCGAACAAAACCCAGATGTATACATAGGCGTACTGTAGCTTTTTATTATGTTTTTAGATTTTATTAATATGTGATTGTTCTGTTGCGACCAGATCCCGCTCACGATAACGACATAGGCTATACTTTGCATTTACAATAGCCCACTACATTTCATGTGAATTTCATTTCATTTAAATGCCATTTCTCTGGTAAAAGGTTAGACTGTTTATATGGAATACAATTTATTAAAACCAACTCTGTTTCACATGTTAATAAAACAATCACCATATTTACAGCACGTTTTATTTGTAACATTTCTGTTATTCTGCTTTTAAAAAACCTATAGACCCATCAGTCCTTGATTAAAAAAAAAACTATATTAGGTCACTGATTCATTCAACATTTGATTCCATATACTTTAATCAAGTTAGACGCCATATTGTATTAAAAAGCGGATAAAACGAGGCTGTGTGAGGGATAGACTTATGGTAGGCCTATGCACTGTATAAAGGTCCTAGATCATGTAATTCTAAACTGTTGTATTAAGTTTTGTCCAACAAAAGGTAGACAAAACTTACTCTTGAACAAATTATTCCTATCAGTTCTGCAAAAAAAAGAAAGGAAAAAAAAAGAAAAAAGATCCTATTCAAAAGAGGACATCAACAAAATAGTTGATGACTTGAGAAGACTTTGTGTAATGTACAGGATTTCAATGGATTACATAAAGGTAACAATGAGACCACCATGTGTAATAAAGGTGTGTCAGTGATTTAAATAGTCTGTGACATGCTGTAATTAAACAAATAGTTCATTTTCCCATGTCAGTCTATTTTTTTTACTGTCTGTCTACTTAAAAGTTTTTAAATTATTTATTGATGGAGGACTCCTGAGAGTTCCCCGTCTAGAATTAACTGAGATACCTTTACCTGTCACTGGGTACTACTGCTAGGTGTCCTATTGTATTACTGGTGACCACTATAAACTGTTCTACGTGTCAGTTCTTATGATCGGAGTGGTTTAGTGCATTTAAATCACAGTCAGTCCCAAAGCATGTGCTGTTTGTTTTATGAGACATGGAAAAGTTTGCACACCTTTTACACACAATATACAGTACATTGAATAAACAATGTTACCGTGAAGCAAATTTCTTTAATACAACACAAGAACATTGTGGTGTAACTCTGTGTTATTGATTTTTTTATCATTTATATATTGGGTAAATTCAGCTAAATAATTACAGTATGTTTTCAGTATTTTCAAACTCTTCAGGGTCACATGATCCTTCAGAAACTATGATACACTACCATTCAAAAGTTTGGGGAAAGATTAATAATAATAATAATAATTATTATTATTATAATTATTATAATTAGCAAGAATTCAGCAAGAACACATTAAAAATGACCAAAAATGACAGTAAAGACATTTATAATATTAGAAGGATCCTGTGACAATGAAGACTAGAATGGCTGCTGGAAATTCAGCTTCACTTTCAAAGGAATAAATCATATTTTTTGAATTGTAATAATATTTCACAATATTAGCATTTTAGCCTTAGTGAGCATAAGAAAAACTTCAGTAGTGTATCTGAATTCACCATTCATTACTATGACAGTGCTTTAAATAAACATATTCATTCAATATCCCATATGCACACACAATAGTGTATTATTTTAAATGTTTGCATGCAGTTTGTTCCATAGTTACAGATGGTAGGAAAACAACAAATTATTCATGCCTCTGTCAGACATTACCAGAATCACACTAGCAGTCAGTAATAGGCAGCCACTGTATTTACCTAAATTGTGTAAAACAGGTGTTGAAAGTAGGTGAGTGTATAATGTGCTGATCATATCATGGCAATGGAAAAGAACACGCATGTCTGTCAGTAGAGCCAAAACTACTACTAATACAAAAGTGCCATCATTGTCTAAATGACTGCAGACTAGACACACCTCTGGAAATGTGTCAATAAAGATGAAACATCACCTAGCCACACCTGTAGTTGTATATTAATAATTACTAATTATGAGTCATTTGTTAGAGATACATGACAGGCATATTTTAACATGCTTAGATTAGACTGTAAAATGGGACAGTAGCACTCTTACTGTAAATTAGCCCTGTGCTCTTTTAAGCTTCCAAAATTGCCAACTCAGCCCGAGATGAAATGACATCATTGTTTACAGCTCTGCAGCAGATGGAGGAATGGGAGTGGCCCTCCGTGCCACACTGATGATTCAAAACAGCATTTAGTCTCAGTCTATTTTTCTTTCCCTTAGTGCGGCCCAGTGTGTTAAAATCCCAGAGTGCTCCTGCTCTCACGACATCACTGCTTGAAAGTGCCCTGTCAGCAAACTCCTGAATGTAGCCATTCCTTTTTCACATTATATAAAAATCATTGCATTTTTTGTGTGTGCGACATAACGTAGTAAGTGGAGTTACTCTAGAACAGGAGCCCTCAAACTTTCTGGACCCTCAAATATTATAATAACATAGTAAGGGACTATATTCATAAAATACAGGTCATTTATACTGACCATTTAAAATTAGAGAAAAAAAGATATTATAAAGACATAAATGACATAATTGACTTTCATACTGTCATAGGACCCAAAAATGAAAATTAGCCCATAAATTACTCACCCTCAAGTCATCCTAGGTGTATATGACTTTCTTCTTTCAGATGAATCCAGTCGGAGTTATCTTAAAAATTGTCTTTGATCTTTCAAGCTGTTTCATGGCACTCAGTGGGTGTTGCATGCATCAGTCCAAAAGCAGTTAAATAAAATGTGCCCATCCATAAAAAAAAGCATGTACAACAGTGAGCGCAAGCTACATTAAAGGGATTATTACGTTTTGAATATAGATATTTTTCTTACAAAAACGCACCGATTCGCTACAGAAGGCCTTTGTTCACCCCCGGGAGCCATGTGAGACACTTTTTTTTATGGATGGGCGCATTTTAATTAAGTGCTTTTGGACTGATGCATGCAACACCCGCTGAGTGCCATGAAATAGCTTGAAAGATCACAGATAATTTTTAATATAACTCCGACTGGATTCGTCTGAAAGAAGAAAGTCATATACACCTAGGATGACTTGAGGGTGAGTAATTTATGGGCTAATTTTCATTTTTGGGTGAACTAACCCTTTAACACAATAAATGATGAAACTGTATGGAAAATATTTACTTTTAAGTTCACATTGTACTGTATCTTTTTTTAATCCACAGATACCCTTTCAATGTTTTATACAAGACACCAGCGTTAGAAAGCAAATTTTATAAACTATAATTTTTCTTAATTAAAACATTATTTTCCCTCTTTTGACAAACCCTATTCTAGACGATGCAGATGTTGAGATATTTTGGCACCTATTGAGTAAAATAAAGGTATGTACAGTCTACTGAAGATGAAACTGGCCTCAACGCTCAGGCAACATTTGATCTTGCGCACTTTCTATTTGCAAATTTAATTTAATTTAATTGGATACAGTCCATGACCACAAACTATCTAGACTATGATGTTTTCCTCTGGAACTAACATTATCCACATTCTCCAACTCACTGCAGCCTCTCTGCTAATGATAATCTGTGCTAACAATGCCTCCATTCAATGAAGTCTATCAGAACCAAATGTTTCCATGCATACTTGTGCGACTTATGAATGCCTTGCTGATCTCTTCTGATCTTCTGTTCAGTCAGTCTTGCTTCCTTTATGTGCAATGTGTAAGATCCTTATGTTGGCATGTTTACGGTTAAAGATGAAAGGCTATATGGCTTCCTCACTGATAATCCCAGCAGATATTAGTGCTCCCGTCCCATCGTTGCTGGTTGAGCTTAAACCAGTGGGTACAGGACAGTGGGGGAGGGCCGGTAGGGATTACTTTGACAAGTTATGTAAGCATGCCATCCAACTAAAGGGTGAGAAAAAGAAGGAGATGGAGATTAAAGGAGATGGTAGAAATTTCAGTAGGTTTAGGGAAGCAAGTAACTGGGGAGGAAAAATCCTGTTCCTGAGAATGCTGAGCTTTTCTGGAATGTTGATAGCATTTGAACCGCCTGCCCATGACCGAACAAAGAAAGATTTTTCTTGCTGTGCTCGACAGAAAAAGGGACAGATTGGGAACAGATGGGAAACAGAACTGTTTAGATCTGGGAAGCGCTACCAAGGCTTCCCCAGTCGAGCCCTTATTTTCTTCAAAACACTTTTTCACTCATGACATGACTAAACAGTGGCTAATATTTGTATGCTTAAACCTGATTACAAACATACCATTTAAATAGATACAGATAAAAAGAGACCAAATGGACAAAGGGAACATATTAAAAGTAAAAAAACTCACTGCTCTTAAACAGTGAGAGCTCATGCCATATGCATAATGTCTTAAACATTATGCTTTCACAAAAGTCAAGACTACCCCCCCCCCCAAAAAAAATTGTAACAGCTTTCTGTTGACCAGTCAAATTCCGCTAAAGCGTGCAGGATTTGCATAA